CTTTAAAAATGTGATCATGTCTGTAAGCATCTAGCATATTATCTAGCACACAGTGAGTGCTCCATCAAAGGTACCTGCTAGGACAGTGGTTCTTGTCTTCAGGTTCACTGGCTCAGCAGGCCTCTCCCCACCCCTACACACATGCACACCCACACCCACACCCAGACACACAGCCACCACTACCACCGCCACCGCCAGCAGCAGCCACAGGGAGGAGCTGGAAAGATGGGGGCGGAGCTCCAGGAATGCTCTAGGGGGTGAGAGTGGGTGGCACCTTGGAGGACTCAGATTTCCCTCCTCCTTTCTCTTCTCCATCAGCTCTGTAACAGTTGAAAAGCAGGCAAGGCTTTGGCAGATCCTGGGTGAGAGAGAGGGAGGAGCTCAGTCTCTCCTCTCCCAAGGAACTTGAATCTGTGGCTCCCAACGGCAGCCACAATGAGTCTCCTCCCCAGAGGGTCATGATAAGGCTAAACAGCCTTTTTCCTGCTCCTGGCTATTGGACCCAATCCTCCCTCCCTTAGGCCTCAGTTTCCCTGTCTGTGGGCTGTGGAAAGAGAGTGCTTCCCGCCTCACCGTCTCCATGACAACCGCAATCGATGTTGGCGGTGTCCTCCTGACTGGAGAGGTCACTGCCTTCTCCCGGCTTATATTCTATTCTCGTACAGCTCCATGCAGATACAATTATACAATCACTGTAGACCCATACTCCTAATTATAGGACACCTCTATACTACCAGTCTTCAGACCGCTATCCCACAGCCCTGCTAAAACCCATTATACCCCATGCCCCCTACACACTGAGAGAAGCTCCAGCACACTCACACACACATACTATGGACACCTAGTCACTTACCCATATACACAAGACACACACCTAATAGACATACATAATCATGTGTAAACCACACACAGAGATGCACATAAGAGGAGAAACACATATTCTCTATACAGTCAGACACAGGAATACACACAAGGAAATGCCCAGACACTTATAATATATTCTGACCCACATATCTATTCCTTATACATGTGTGGCTCATAGTTTTTCACACACACACACACACACACACAGCCCTCTCCCAAGCACAGCTCCTCCCTCTACTCCCTCCCTTTGGCAAAGAGTAGCCACAAGGTGTCTGGGGGAAGCTGTCCTCAGGGACAGAGGCAGGTCACTACCTTCCTCCTCTGGCCTGGCCTGTTTTGGCCCATATCCTGCACGCAGAAGGCTCCTGAGACGATGCCGGTCTGTCCTGTCGGCTGAAGTGGCCCTGTGAAGAGGAAGAGCCTGTGACTTGGAGGCGTGTGGGGCAGAGGCGGGGTGAGGGGGCGGAGAAGGAGGAGATCCTGGGAGGGAGAGGGGGAGGGAGGCTGCAGGCGGTCCTCTTACTCGCTGGGGAGCCCGAGGGGGAGGTGGCGTGAGGAGGGCTGCCAGTGTGTCTGACCCTCGGCTGGTGGGGGCCATGCCCCAGGCCCACCATGAACCTGGAAGGGCTGGAGATGGTTGCTGTGCTCGTGGTCCTCGCTCTGTTTGTCAAGGTCCTGGAGCAGTTTGGCCTGTTCGAGCCTGTCTCCTTGGAAGGTAACCCAGGCGTCCGGGCACGTCTGGGCTGCTGGCCGGAGCAGCAGCTGTCTGCAGTGCTGGGGAGGGGGTTACTCTGATTTTATGACTGGGGCAGGGGTGAGCCTGTTGGTGATGGGACAGGGCGTCTAGGGGAGATGAGGAGGTCTGCTTGGGGGACAGGACATCTGAGAGGGGTAAAAAGGGAAATACAAAGAGTGGGTCTGGGGGAGGAGTGTCTGAGGGAGGTGAGGAGGGAATCTGGGGATTGGGTGTCTGAGGGAGGTAAAGAGAGAGGCCCAGGGGCCAGGGTGTTTGCGGGGAGGTGATGAGGGGCACAGCATGGGAGGACCAGGGTATGGAGGTGAGGGGAACCCATGGGGAGCATGAGGAGAGGTCTAGAGACAGGCAGGGCTATCTAGAGGAAGGAGGTTCCAGGGATCGCGAGAAAACACCAGACTTCAGGGGTGTCCCTTTCAAAATGGCTCTGAAGATGTGCACGACTCTCCACACCTCTATCCTTGCAGGTGTATGTTACAGAGTGTAGTGTATGTGGACTCTGTGTGAGAGATACAGGGGGTGTGACTGTGTGTCCATCTACGTGAAAAAGGACAAAGTGTGTGACTGTATGAGCCTTTGTGTGTGACAGGGACGTGATTTAATGTGTAGAGGGACAGGGGGTGTGGCTTTGTGAGCCAGTGGATATGACTGTGCCTGAGGGGGACTGGTGTGTGGCTGGGCCTCTTTGGGTACTGGCTTGTGTGTGTGGCTGTTCCCAGAATTCCCTGAGGAAATACTAGCTCCATACTCAGGGCTTGGGATGGGGGTGGGTTCTGGAGGGGCAGGAGTGGGAAACTGGGAATGAGACATTTATAATCAGCTCTGGGGGCGCCTGGGTGGGTCAGTCAGTTAGGCGGCTGACTTCGGCTCAGGTCATGATCTCACAGTTCATGGGTTCGAGCCCTGCGTCGGGCTGTGTGCTGACAGCTAGCTCAGAGCCTGGAGCCTGTTTCAGATTCTGTATTTCCCTCTTTCTCTGACCCTCCCCAGTTCATGCTCTCTCTGTCTCTCTCTCTCTCTCTCTCTCTCAGAAATAAATAAAATATAAAAAAAATTATAATCAGCTCTGGCAGGAGTGTGAGGGGTGGAACAGATCAGGGACCTCGCTTCCCAAGTCCCCTTGCCACTTCCAGCATCTCTCAGGATCTCCAGGGCCTAGGCATTGGGAGTGAGAAATCAGTCCTCCACTCCACCCCGAAGCCTAGTGGGGAGAGCGATATTGGAGGCAGAGGGGGAGCAGGTTCTGCCTTCCCCACAGAGGTGTGGCCTCTCTCTCCTTCACACCAAGAACTGTGCAGCTCCGTAGCTCGGCTGTTCCCTGGCTCCACAAGAGACAGGAAAGTAGGCAAGACTCATGATAGGAGGGCTGTGGAGTAGGCAGCAGGGAGAACTGCAAAGTTGTGAAGGGAGCTGCAAACCAGGAAGGGCCTGCTCTAGGGTTCTGTAAGAGCAGGAAAGCCCTCTGTCCTCTGCCGTACTTATTGGAGTGGGGTGGGGAGCAGGGCTTCCTCCTAGGTGAACTGGGGTTCATCCAATCCTGAGAAGATGAAGTCAGTTTGGCTCTGACTTGCCATCCCCTTAAGGTGTCTTGTAGGCTCAAGGCAGAGGAGAATGATTCCAGCGAGCAGGGAGAGGACCAGGGAAGGGGGTAGATGTGTGAACAGCTTGAGGTTGGGAGAGGCGGGGATGGGGGTGGTGCTGTCCCCCTCCCCCCCTTCCCAGTCCAGCTGCGACTGACTACACCACCGGAGGCCCCAGGCACAATCCGGCTTCGGGAAACCAAAGTCCGGGCTAATGGAGGCCTGGGCTGGGGGCCAGGCCGCCATCGATCCCCCACTCGGCCCACGGTCTCCCTCCTACCTCTCCATAGCTCTGCGGAGGGAGGAGGAGAAAGGACTTATTGGAGGGGAAGGCACGGGCTTGAAGCAGTTACCTACTGGGAGCAGGGCCTTTTCCTGAAGGGTAGAGCCTGGCCTGGGGGGAGGCGGGGCCTGCGTGCGAGGTGGGGTGCCCTAGGAACCTGCAACCCAAGGAAACTGGGCCCCTCCAGGAATGAACTGAGGCCAGCTGCAGCGTGCTAGGCCCCTGTGAGCGCTGGCCCTGGAGTCTGGAGGTGGATGCAGCTGGGACACAGGCACCAGACTGAGGGGTCTCTCCCCAGGGTGCGTGCAGTTAGAGTTGTAGGACAGGGGTGTAAATCAGGGGAAGTGAGGGGGACTGTGGGCAGCGGCTCTGGATAGCCCCACATTACACCAAAATACTCATCTTGAGGGTCTGTGACTGCTTCAAAGTTTGCTATCATGTCACCTTCAAAGAGAAAGCCATATGAAAGGACTGGGAGGGGACATGCTTTTAGGGTGGAGGAGTTAGCTGATGAGGAACTCTGTTCCCCTGGCAGGGAAATTCTAAGTGCCCTGGAAGGAGGGGTTATAGGAAGGAAAGCGGGTTCTATTGGTGAGGTGCAGTCTTATGTATCTGGGGGGCCCTGGGTACCTAAGTCACCATATATGATTGTGTGTCCTGGTGACCTTGATATGTGTCATAATGTTATAGGGTCACAGTGTGTGTCCTTAACACACCGTGTCATGCTGTCCCATGTACTCTTCTACGGTTTGTTCATGCTGCATGGAAGGTGGCCAGAGTGGGTCCTCATATGTCTGTGTCATGCTTTTCCTAGGCCACATCTGTTTATGTTTGTATTCAGGAGTACTGTGTCAGAGTGTGTGTGTGTGTGTGTGTGTGTGTGCGCGCGCGCGCGCATGTGTGCGTGTGTTGGGGCCTGCTTAATTAGGCCATTGTGGGGGGTGTCTGGCTGGCTCAGTCGAAAAAGTGTGTGACTCTTGATCTCGGGGTTGTGAGTTCAAGCCCCATATTGGGCATAGAGATTACTTAAATCCATAAAACTTTAAAAAATTAGGCCATTGCTTTTGAGCATGTTACTGGGTGTCAAGCTGTTGCTGTATGGCATCCATCACTGTAATTTATCATTCCATGTGTCACTATACAGGTTTGTCACTGTGTGAGAGAGAGACAGAGACAGGTGTTCCTACTCAGGCAGTCCTTGGGTTGGACATCACCCTCAGAAGTCCAGCTATAGCACTGGAGCCAAGGGCACTGGGTCAGCAGGCATCAAGGCCAATGCCATCTCCCTTCGGGGGCCTCACGGTCCCGGCTGCGTCCCATTATACGAGGCGCCTGAGGGGACTTTATATGCCTGTGAAACGCACTGGGCTTCCCGAACCCTGCCCCGGCTACTCTCACCGGTCTCCTCCTCCTGTCCTCTCCCAACACCCCCTTCCCCCGGTTGACTTGTGATGGTGGGGAGGGCAGCGGAGGGACAGTGGGGGTTAATGTGCCTTCCTGGGGTCTTCTCTCTTCCCAGGCCACCCTCCAGGGCCCACTAAAAAAGCGCTGAAGCAGCGGTTCCTCAAGCTGCTGCCTTGCTGCGGGCCCCAAGCCCTGCCCTCAGTCAGTGAAAGCAAGTGCCTCTCCTGTGCTTCCTGGGAGGGGTGTGTGTGTCGGGGAGTGACCTGTGTGACAGGAGCGGACCTGCTTGTGTGTGTGTGTGTGTGTGTGTGTGTGCGCGCGCGCACGTGCGCATGACCAATGTGGCTTGGGGAGTGGGGGTGGGCGCGGGTTGGCCCGAGTGTGACGAGGGTGTAGCTATAGAGACCAAAGCAAGGAGAATGTGTGGACCCAGCCAGTTTTGGGGAGGGGGGCCCAAGTGTCTGTGGGCTTCCCGGGTCAGCAAAAGGAGTGAGCCCCGGGTGTTTGGGCGTGGCCAGTGTGGCAGGGCTGAGGCCTGAGACTGTGTGGGTGTGGCCAATGTGACCACGCAAGACCAGACTGCTGCGAGGTCTGTCCTGGCTTAGCTAGGATAGTGTCTGCAGCCCCACCCTGGGCATGTTTTTGGCCTCCAGATGCATGTTGCCCTTGCTCTGACTGGATGAATGTAGTTGCCGAGGATGGAGCCCGCCTTCCTCCAGGTGCCAGGATACTTGGGTTTTCTAGTCCCAGCCTGGTCCCCAGTTGAGTGGCCTTGCTTTCTCTCCAGGCCCGTTTCCTCAGCGGGGCCTTGCCTGCCTCAAGGGATCATACTGAATTTTGCAAGCCACAGAGGCCGACTTTGTAGTTACAATTTGAGAGTATCATTGTGCTTGATTCCCCTGGGTCCCACATAGGGATAGCTTCGGGAAAAGGACAGGCGTGAGTCCCACAGCAGGTGTGCGCAGCGTCTGTTTCCTGTGCGTTTGTGCTTGTTGGTTAAGTGTGCCACTGCTGGGGCGTGTGCATCGTAACAGGCAGGTCTGTGAGATTTGCTGTGGCGTGGGAGGGGCGAGGTGTGTGTCTGTAGTTGGCCGGGTCTTCCACTTTCTTGGTGACAGTTCGCTCCCTTCAGCATTAGCAGTCCCAGCCTCCCTCCGCCCCCACAGACCCCGCCCGCTGGACCCAGGTGACTTATTGTCCTGATGGGGGCGGGGGGCCGGTGCCTTCGAGATCGTGGGGTGGGGGCACTTGCCTGGGGACTGGATGTTGGGAGCTGGGGCAGGACTGATATGGGGCCAGGGATGGATGAGGCCTTGACTAAGGTTTACGAGGAGCAGGATAGGGGTGGGGTCTGGATGGGCTTGGCTGGGGCTGGGCGTGGCATGGCTGGAGCATGGCTGGGAGAGGCGGGGCTTGGCTGGAGAAAAGGATCTGGGCGGGGCAAGTTTGGGGCTTCTGGGATCTGAGTGGGTCAGGGAAGGTCTGGAGCCCAGACCCTCAGACGTTTCCTCTTGAACCCTTTTTTCTACTCTTCCCTTTCTGGAACGAAGATGGGGCTGGGGGGCTTTCTCCTTCAACCAGGGATCAAGGGCCCAGGGCAGCGATGAGTCGGACCCCTGGCGGTGGGGCCAGGCCTGCCCATGGGCCCGGCCAACTGATAGACTTGGAAGCTCACCAGCGTCATCTCTCCTTGCCTTGATGTCCTCGGACCGGGGTCCAAGGGAACTGGCAGGCTGGTCTCTGTCGTTGGAGATGGGGAGGATGGTTTTGAAGCGGGGTCGTGGAGGCTGGGCCTGAGGCGCGGCTGTCCCCCCCCTCCACTGCCCCCCCCTCCCACCCGCAGACAGCGTGGAGGATGAGTTTGAACTGTCCACCGTGTGTCACCGGCCGGAGGGTCTGGAGCAGCTGCAGGAGCAAACCAAGTTCACACGCAAGGAGTTGCAGGTCCTGTACCGGGGCTTCAAGAATGTGAGTGCAAAGCCAGGTCCCACAGGGTGAGGGGTGTGGCAAGGGGGCGGGGCCTATCCGGTACCTCGCTGGAAAGATTGGCTTGGATGCTTTTAGGGGTGTGAGAAGGAAGAGGAGGGGCCCCTCTTCCCCACAGACCAAACTTCTAGCAGGAAGTTCTGGCTGATTTGAGATGAGGCGGAGCCTGTAGCCTGGCCGGCTGGCTTGTTTTGTGTTTTTTAAAACTCAGTGTGCTGAGGAGTCTTGCCTTTCTTAAAAGAACTAGATGGTGAGCTCCCTGGAGACAGGAAGATTTTCCTTCTCTGGGAGTCTCTGGGATAGAGTAGGTGATGGTGAGTGGAAGGGGGGTTTGTTTCTGCTTTCAGCCTGGTTTTTAACTCACCTACTCCCCCAGGAATGTCCCAGCGGAATTGTCAATGAGGAGAACTTCAAGCAGATTTACTCTCAGTTCTTTCCTCAAGGAGGTGAGGGGACAAGGCCTGAGAGGAAGGAGCTGCCCATCTCTAGGCTGAGTTGGGGAGAGGGTTCTGGAAGGGCTGGGAATGCCAAATGATAAAGGGGGGTTTGGGGTAGGAAATCCTTTCCTGTGTGAAAGTCAAGCTTATCTACGCTTACCCTACAGACTCCAGCACATATGCCACTTTTCTCTTCAATGCCTTTGACACCAACCATGATGGCTCTGTCAGTTTTGAGGTGAGCTGGAGGAGGTGGGCCAGGGAGGCCTGTTTCCTGGGGCTTCAGGGCCAAGATCCACAGGCCAAACCCAGAGAAGGGGGTTGGGGTAAGGGTATCTGAAGAACCAGTTCCCCCCTCTCTCCTTCCCAGGATTTCGTGGCTGGTCTGTCAGTGATTCTTCGGGGAACCATAGATGACAGGCTAAACTGGGCCTTCAATCTGTATGACCTCAACAAAGATGGCTGCATCACCAAGGAGGTGTGGGGCAGCTGAAGAGTTGGAGAGCTTCTGTGTGTGAGGGGAGGTTCAAAGGGCCCTTAGGAGGAAAACGTGACCCACATGTGCATCACCAGCGAGGGGGAAGATCTGCCCTGGGCTCTAGTCTTCCTGATTTGGAGGCTGGAGGCTCTGAGGAAGGATCCTTTTCTCTCTTGGCCTGACAGGAAATGCTTGATATCATGAAATCTATCTATGACATGATGGGCAAGTATACGTATCCTGCACTCCGAGAGGAGGCCCCAAGGGAGCATGTGGAGAGCTTCTTCCAGGTGCCTGGGACTGGGTAGGCTGGAGGGTCCTGGAGTCAAGGGAAGGAGACAGGGTGCTAGCAGGGAACTTACCCGAGTTCTGCCTGCGTCTCTCTTGTCATCCCTCCTGTTATCTCTCTCTTTTTCTAGAAGATGGACAGGAACAAGGATGGCGTGGTGACCATTGAGGAATTCATTGAGTCTTGCCAGAAGGTACAAGCCCCTGCCGTCCATATTTCCCTGGTCTGGACTCCGGGTCTGATTCAGCGATGTAGGAGAAAGCTCCTTTGGGCAGATTATCGTCTCCCTCACTTGCCCACACTCGAGTCCTATTTCTTCACAACTCTGGGAGGCCTGCTCCTTCCCTACTTCAAGTCTCTCTGGGTGTCTCCTTCCTTGCTGCCTCTGTCTCTGAATGTTCCCATTTCAGAATGAATGCCCCTTTCTGTGTCTCTGATAAGCTTTTTTAATTTTTTTCTCTCTCTCTCTCTCCAATCTGCTTCTCTCATGTCATGGCTACAGGATGAGAACATCATGAGGTCCATGCAGCTCTTTGACAATGTCATCTAGCTCCCCAGGAGAGGGGGTCAGTTGTCCTGGGGGGGACCATGCTCTAGCCCTAGTCTAGGTGGAACTCACCTTTCTCTTCCCAGGTCTGTCCTCATCCTAGCCCTGCCCTGGGGGCTATAGGGATCCAAGAGCCTGGGGATTCAGTGTCCCGACTGCTGGAGCTAAAGGGGCCAGGGAGTGGGTGGAATGTACCTATGAGGTGTTCTCAACTCCCAACAGCTCCTGCCCCCTTCCTGGCTGACACTCAGTGCTGAGGGTACCCCTGTTATAAGAAATAAGTGGTTCTCCACCTTCCATCCCTACTCTAGAAATTACAACACTAGACAGAATGTCTCCTGCTATGGTGCTTCCCCTATCCCTGATCTCATATGCATTTCCTCTAAGATTTCCTTCTCAGAAAGGCTGCTCTGTCAATGGCACTGACTAGCCTGTCAGACCAGGGCCTTTGAGAACCTTTTGGAGGGAGACAAGAATGTAGGGGGAGAAATCTTAGGCCTGAGCTGGGCGGTTAGGTCATAGGTGGCTGGGATAGAGTACAGAAGGGCCTGGAGATGGTCGGTAACACCTCAGGCATGCCAGACTGTAGGTCTAAGCTCCAGAGGTCTGCCACCCCAGGATATCAAAATATGAGTTTCCAGCCTCTTCAGAAGACTCTGTCTCCTTGGGAATGCCCCAGAAATGTCCATACTCTCCTCAGTATCCCAGGAGAGCTTGGGATCCTGATATCTGGCTCATCCCTGGAATTCCTTTCTCTCCTTCCTTCCTGTTTGTAGGGGTGGTGGCAGCAGCAGGGGAATATGGGTGGGAGATGTCCCAGCTGATTCCTGACAGAGTTTCAGCCTACCCTCTGATGGCTGCCACTTAAGTTTTCATTTGCCATTTATTCTAGACTTGGAGGCATGGAGTGAGTCAGGGACCATCCAGTGGATGCCTTAGAAGAAAGGGGAAGGAGGGAGGCCGGTATACCATCTGAAACCAGTGTGGGGCATTCACTAGAATCTTGGCTCTACCTAGGCTCTATTCTAACCCCCCATGCAACCTCCTCAGTTCCTACTTGGGGTCTCCTCTTGCTCTATTCAGTCTACCCAGAGATGCCCCCTGAACACACTTAGAAGGCAGGGACAACTCTTGCCATGCTGCCACCCTTTAATATACTTGCTCGTTCCATTTAGCTCACCCTCCCAGTCAGTCAGGATCTGAGGGTAAGGGCCCTAAGGGAGGTCCCTTTCCCATCAGAACATTGTTGACTGCTTTGCATTTTTGGCTCCTCTGTATATTTTGTAAAATAAAAACTATACCAGATCCAATAAAACACAATGGCTATGCACAGGCTGCTGTCTCTGCCTTTTTGTCCCTCCCACTCCACCCCTACCTCACAACCCTGACCTCCACACCTGTAGCCTTTTAGATCCCTCTCTTTCCCATAGTATGGCCAACGCATGGCAGAAAATTGAGATACAGGTTCTGGAAGTGTTGGCAACCCACCTGACCTCAGAGAGGTCCCCATGTGAATCTCTCTCCCACATCCATAGGGGAAACGAGAGACAGGATATTAATGCCCTGAAGACTATTGCCAAGCCAGCTGTCTTTTGACTAGACATTCTTACAAATTGAATCACGAATTTATAATTTACAGGGGCGCCTGGGTGGCTTAGTTGGTTAAGCATCCGGCTCTTGATTTCAGCTCAGGTCATGATCTCAGGATTCGTGAGATTGAGCCCCACGTCGGGCTCTGTGCTGACAGTGCAGAGCCTGCTTGGAATTCTCTCTCCCTTACCCTCTCCTGCTCACTCTCTCTCTCAAAATAAATAAACTTAAATTCTTAAAAAGAACTTCTAATTTACAGACATTTTAGTTAATCTCAAAATGCTTTCTTTTAAATTTTTTATTTTTTAAATCTTTTAAAGTTTTTATTTATTTTGAGAGAGAGAGAGCAGCAGAGGGGCAGAGAAAGAGGGAGCCACTTTCTGAGCCACTCAGGCACCCCTCGGTGTGCTTTCTTTTGAGGGGGGATTCCCTTTAGTTTCTAATGAGAGTTCCTTTGTGTAAACATCCTAACCTTGCCTCCAATATGGACATGTGTTTGTGTTTATACTCCAGCCAGGAATGATGAGGGATCATATGGGGTGGACCCAGGTCACCATGGAGCAAATGACACAAAGGGGAATAGAGACTTCCTGTGTGGAATGGAGGCCTTGCTTTGTTCCTGGCGAGGGGCCACCAGTGGTAGCTTCCTCCTATCCTTTCGCTGGGGCAGCAGTACGTGGTGATTAAGCTTCACCTTCCATAGAAGGGGGATCAGGCCTTCTCTTCCATCACTGTGCACACTGACAAGGGAAAGGGAGGAGTATGGTGTTCAAGAAAGGAAAACTTACTTCCAGAATTCATCATTTTGTCATCTGTGTTTCCTGCTCACATTATCACATAACTATTTGCTCCATAAGTCCTTGGATTTCTTTGGGTCACAGCCCCTCTGAAAGATCTGATGCACCATGAGAGTGGCTTGGCCTAGGGAATAGCAGTGGAGACATAGATCTGATGAAAGTTTGGGGTCCACTTCCGGAAGAAAAAAACATGCACACATTTTTGTATCCCTGAAACTTGTCCGTGGACCTGGAGGTAAGAACCTATGGTCTAGTTTTTTTCCTAGCCTTCCATTATACAGGAAAGGAGAAAGGCCCAAAGGGGGGAGATGACCTGCTCAAGGTCACCTAGTGAGTTTATAGGAGGATTGAGACTAGACCCAGTCTCCCACGTCTCTGTCCCCGGTGGCTTTGGGATGTAGTAAAGATCTTTGAGTGCAAGATGGATGCGATGCATATCACACATAGTCTAAACAAAGTGACACTGTGACAGGCTCTCAGGGGACGCTACACTTTTCCTTCATGGCACTTCTCAGTTTGTTACCATATATTTATTTGAGTGATTATTTATCTTATTTGACAGAAACTCCTGAGGACTCCTTGAGGACCTAGACTAAGTTTTCTTGCCCCACCGCCAATGATCCTATCCTTGAGGCCTAGCATGTAATAGGTATAATTATATATACAATTGTATAAGTGATCATATGATTGGCTGAATGAGTATGGTGAGTGTGTGTATACATCTCGGTTAGGTATAGAGATGGTCTCTATGTTCTAGGGTAGATTCAAGTTTAAAGGAAGTTGAAGTCTTGAGGCTGAGTGAGGTGAGAAGTGTCCCAGACCCAAGACACATAAATGGGTCCCAAAAAACTCAGCAGGTTGGCAGTCTGATCATTTTTTTATGGCCCCTGGTTGGATTCTGATGTTGTCATCTGCTCCATCTCAGAATACTCCTTTCATGGGGTGCTTGGGTGGCTCAGTTGGTTAAACGTATGACTTCAGCTCAGGTCATGATCTCGCCCTCTGTGAGTTCATGCCCTCTGTCTGGCTCTGTGCTGACAGCTCAGATCCTGGAGCCTGCTTTGGATTCTGTGTCTCCCTATCTCTCTGTCCTTCCCTCACTCATGCTCTTTCTGTCTCAAAAAACAAAACAAAACAAAACAAAACAAAAAAACATTCCTTTCATGCCTTCTTGTATTTCATACTCTCCTGGTTTTCCTCTTACCTTTTTGGCCACTGCTTCTCAGCACCCACTTGCAGACTCCTCCTTCTCAACTGGAATTCTAAACGTTGAGCCCCATAGCTCAGACCGGAGTCTCTTCTCCAAATCACATCCAATCTTTTGGCATTAAATGCCATTTATATGCAGATGACTTCTAAGTTTATATCCCCAGAATTCTCTTCTGAGCTTCAAGAGCCATATATTCAACTGACATATTCATGTGGACCTGTAATGGTCAAACTTAACATGTTCAAAATGGAACTTTGATTCATGTTTTCTCAGCCTTCCCCATCTTAATAAATGACACCATCTACCTAGTTGCTCAGGTTAAAATTTAGTAGTCTTGGAGCACCTGGGTGGCTCAGTTGGTTAAGTGTCTGACTTTGGCTCAGGTCATGATCTTGTGGTTCAGGAATTCGAGGCCTGTACCAAGCTCTGTGCTGATAGCTCAGAGCCTGGAGCCCACTTCAGATTCTGTGTCTCCCTCTCTGTCCCTCCCCTGCTAGCACTCTGTCTCTCTATCTTGCTCAAAAATAAACATTAAAAATATTTTTAAAAATAATATTTAGTAGTCTTCATTTCTTCCTCTTCCTCTACTCCTTTTTTTAAATTTAAATTTTTAATTTTTTTCTCTTTTTTATTTTTTTAAGTAATCTGTATGCCCAACATGGGGCTTGAACTCATGACTCCCAGGCTCTACCAACTGAGGCAGGTGCCCCCTCCCTCTACTCCTTTAATCAATTACCAATTCCACCACCAAAGGTGCACCACTGCTCTACGTCTCCACTGCTATTCCCTAGGCCAAGCCACTCTCATGGCTCAATCATAGATTGCTACTTATTCTTCCGTCGGAAGTAGCCTTTCCTTGCTATGGTTACTCTATCACATCACTCGATTTCCTCTCTTCATAGCACTTCTTACAAATTGAGTTCCTGTGTATGTACTAAATTTGTTATTGTATGTTTCTCTAACCAGAATTTAAACTGTGAGTGCAGGGCCCTCTCTCATTCATTCCACAGGTATTTACCATAGGCCTACTAACCTCTGGTTCCTGCTGTAGGTACTAGAGGGTAGAGGTGTGGTTTGGAGAGTGTGTACTGAGAACTTTCCTTCAAGTTTGAGAGGTGCAGATTTGGAAAGGGGATTTAACCCCAAATCCTGCAAGGGGCCACAATATCTATGAAAATGTTTGCTTCTAACCCCCATCCCAACGCTCTAGGACTAGAAAGAAGAGGGACTATGTGTGACTGAGGAGCTGCAGGTTGGGCTACTGTTGAAGGAATTGAATATGAGATCGAAATGTAAGATGGACAGTACTGTCTGAATGATCAGAATGAGTGTGAGATGCTCATTTCATACTTCGCAAGCTGAGACAGATCTCTCAACCCACATAAATGTAAGTAGTGCGTTATGACAGGGCTACATGGAGCTCTGAGCACAAACAGCAGCAAGGGGACCCAAGCCCATCTACGGCTGAGGGAAGGATTCCTTAAGGAAACTATGTTTATGCTAAGGTTTAAGGGATCTCACTTCTCCCTAAGACACAGTTCACATTCTCCATTCCCAAAGATGCCAGGCCCTTTCAACCCTCGCTACACTTGTACTCTGTTCCGTAAGACTGGAGTGCTCTCTTTGCTTCTCCCCAGCTCTAGCTCCTATTCATCCTTTACGTTCCAGCTCAAAAGCGAAGCCATGGCTGCCACCTCTCTTCAAAGGAGGAGTAAGTCAGTCCCTCCTCTGGGGTCCCGTAACATTTGGGTACACCGTGTGGGCACTGTGTATGTACTTGCTTGTCTCCACCGCCATACTGTGAGCTCATAGTGACCCCAGAGGCAAGCTCAACTGGTGTCTGCTGAACGAAGGAATGAACGAAAGGCTTAATTTTTAAAACGGGTTAGCGCCTAGCTGGGGGTAGGGGAAAATGATTCAAGGCAGAGGAGTAAGCTGAGCCCCTTGGAATGTTGTCTTCACAGAACCGATCCTGGGTCTGGGTGATGTAATGAGCCAACCTACTAGAAGAATCTCAGTAGAAAATAGGTCAGTTTCTTCCTATCTCTTTAAGAACTAGAGGTTTCGTTCCCGCGCCTGCGCATTGAGAGAGTAAACACCTCTCTTTTTCACCCCCCCTTCCCTATTGCCCTAACCGGTTGCAGCCTCCTCCCATACTCCCCTTCTTCAGGAGGGGTAATGGTTCGTTCCAGAGCGCCTTCCTTGTCCTAGAGGGTGGTGAGCACAAATGGTACATTCCATCGCCTTCATGACTTTCCGTTTTTCGCGTCTCCTCTGTTCTATTTCCCCCTATCGAATGAAGCTCAATAGGCTGGCCCAAAAGAAGGAGGGGTAGTCGGGCTGAGGGGACCGGTCTGAGCCGGTCTCCGGCGCAGGCGCAGTGCGGATAAACAGGAAGCAGGCGGTAGAGGCAGCGGTGGTGGAGACCTACGGGTTTTGAGGGGGAAACAGCGGAAAAGCTAAGATTATCGGGAGGTAGCAGAGGCTAACTGCGACCAAGAAAAGGAGGTTTGGCTATCTACCTCCAGAGAACGAGAGGTCGTGGCCTCGCCCTCCGCTTAGGCTTCCGGCTCCCCAGCTTAGGCTGAGGCAGCGGCTGACAAAGGGCTCGCGCCGGTGCCGCCGCCCTTCTCATCCGGGCATTCGGGTCCCTGCGGAAGGGAGGGGGCAGGGCCGAGGGGGAAGGGAAGGAACACGAAGGGCGCGCGCTTGGAGCCGAGGCCCTTTCCAGGGCTCCGGGCCGGCGGCCCAACGGACGGAGGCCGAGGAGGACCCGCAGAGGTGGCGGCGGCCGGGGGCAGGAGGATGGTGCAGAAGGAGAGCCAGGCGGCGCTGGAGGAGCGGGAGAGCGAGCTCAACTCCACCCCTGCCGCTTCCGCGGGGGCATCGTTGGAGCCGCCAGCAGCTCCGGCCCCCGGAGAAGACAACCCAGCCGGGGCCGGGGGAGCAGCGGTGGCCGGGGCGGCAGGAGGGGCTCGGAGGTTCCTATGTGGCGTAGTGGAAGGTGAGCGCTCTCGCGCGGGGTGGGCGAGAACGTCCTCCCTCCCGTTCCGTCCTAGTACTAACACGTTCTCTCCTCGCGTGGGGGGGTGCTTTGGGAGGCTCTAAAAAGGTGTCACTATTTTGGCCCTGAAACTTGATCCGGTTTAGAAGAGGGGAGAGGCGGGACGGTGGGCAAGTCTCACGTTGTTATGCAGCGTTGAATTCCCCTCTGGCTGTTAACATGCCTGACCCCACCCGCCTTGGGCTGGAGCCAGGCCCGCTCCTGCGGAGGCGGTAGTTTGGAGCCTGGTGTTAGGCTCTGAGTTGCAAGTCTCTGTACCTTGGGATCTTGTCTCCTAGGGTGGTCTGTGTTAAAATGGAAAAACCTGTATAGTCCTGCTGTCCTCACGCCGTGGGGGGTGGGGGTGGGGAACAACATACCCACACGAATGTGCTTGTTGTACTCCGGGAGCGAAGAGAGGCGCAGTCGAGCTATGATTTTACAAATTAACCCTTTGCATAGTTTCTCTTTTCTTTCTTTCTTTTCTTTCTTTCTTTTCTTTTTTCTTTTTTTTTTGGTGGTCAGTCCCCGCCTCCCACCCTTCGTAGAATCTTTTGCAGCCTAGAAAATTGTCCTTTGGCAGCTGCTGTGCTTTGGCTCTAGGGGATGAAGCTTTGATTGGGATAGTATCAGGGATACAGAATGTTAATTTAGGAACTGCAGTAGAGGTTTAAAAATGCCCTTTGACTTTCTCACTTCTCATTAAAATGCTGGATGTATGTATGTATGTATGTGTGTCGTTGGGGAAAATAACCTGATGATTGTATCACAGTTTATGAATATAGTGAATAGATATTCGACCAAGAATTCTGTGGAAAGCATGGGTCAGTTGTCTTACTGCTCTTTCCTTGAGTACAGTGTGTATTTTAATTTTCTGAAGTCTTTTGGCCTACTTAGAGTTTCCTAGCTGTTTGGTATATTAGTTTTTTCCCATATGTAATGGAGGAGTAACAGTATAAAAAGTAGTTGCTATAAAAGACCAAAAAGGTATAGAGAAGTAGAAAGATTACCCTATAGGTTGAGAGCTTCAGCTTTTCCAATATTGTTAGCATACATACTGTTCATTTGAAGGGTGGGTCATGGTTGTGGTATTTAAAAAAAATTTTTTTTGGGGGCGCCTGGGTGGCTTAGTCGGTTAAGCGTCCGACTTTCACTTAGGTCATGATCTCGCGGTTTGTGGGTTCGAGCCCCGCGTCGGGCTCTGTGCTGACTGCCAGCTCAGAGCCTGGAGCCTGTTTCAGTCTGCGACTCCCTCTCTCTCTGATCCTCCCCTGCTCACGCTGTCTCTCTCTCTCTCTCTCTCTCCTAGAAATAAATAAAAATATTAAAAAAAAATAAATTTAAAAAAAAATTTTTTTTAATGTTTTTATTTTATTATTGAGACAGAAACAGCATGAGTGGGGGGAGGGGCAGAGAGAGGGAGACAGAATCCTAAGCAGGCTCCAGGCTCTGAGCTGTCAGCACAGAGCCTGATGCGGAACTGGAACCCACAAACCACGAGAGATCATGACCTGAGCTGAAGTCCTTGCTTAGCCAACTGAGCCACTCAGGCGCCTGTGGTTGTGGTATTTTAGATAAAGCTTAATTGTAGGAGAGAACAGACTAATATGTAGCTACAGTAAGGAGTGAAACAGTTTCACAGAGTTAAGGTCTTATAGGATTTGGGGGAAGATAGAATGGAAAGCTATTTAACCTATTTATTTGGAGTCTTTTTGTGAAAGCATGATTGCTCTGTGTGACTTAATCTGTTGGTGTATTTATTGGGCTTGTTTGCGTGTAGTGAGATTCTAGAAAAAGTATTTTGTCATCAGGGATCTTGGGGTAGAGGGTTGGGGAGTGCTGGAGGATATACAAATTTTAGAGCTAGTCGGGAGGCTGAGGAAACTTTGTTACATCTTCAGTAATTGTGGAGAAAAGCTTGTTGTGGCTTAAGGTGGTTTGTTTTTTCAGAATAGTATTGAAAAGGAACTACTCAGAATAGAGTCATCTGTTACCTATTCTTCCTCCTCTCTCCATATCTTATTTTTTTTTTCTTGGTGACTGAGCACCTGATTTTTTTAGAAAGTACTTCTAAGTTGGTATTTCTAAAATGAATGAAGAAAGGAAGTAACGGAGGTATTGGCAGGATTCCTTTTTAAAATTTTTCTTTACCTCATAAACCTTTGTTG